CCCCAAGAACTCGGACGGGTGAGAGAGCGATCGCCCTCCTCACCTGATTCACACGCCTCTTGAGTTTGCTTCGCAATGAGTCCTCGGGAGTAGTTTGATGGTCGGGCGGGGTTCTGAGACGAAGCGATCCGAGGCAGCAGCGCTTTGAGAGCGACCCTCAGCCGACATATTGTGAACGAATGTTTCAACGATCTCGGCGTCGGCCGCCTCTCCATTCTTTGTGACGTGGAAGGATGATATCGTTCCTTTGATGTGGGGCTGTGCATCGGCCCTTGCTTGGATCCTGGCTGCTCACCCACTATAACCGGCCTGTCGGCAATTACCTATCTGGGACCCCGTGTGCTCAGGGACCGTAGCTCAATGACTTTGTGGATCAACCCATCCTTGAGTATCGCAGCAAGCTGCCGCATCGCTAAGAATGCTGCGACCGCGTTCCTGCACCCCACCTTGAAGCGAATACACACCAACGTTTTCCAGAGGGGTGACTGCCATGTCCTGCGTTGATGCTGTTGACGTTCGTATGAAGGGAGGCCGAAACGGCTGGTGTCTATTGATTGACGCGGCTGTTCAGCTTACTTCTGACCTTAATGCCGACGGATTAAGGATTTATCCTCCTAAGTCGGCCGCGATTGTCTGCGATCGGAGTCTGGCACTGGACCTGACCGCGGCTTTGCACCACCGAGGCATCCTGGTCAAGAGGGACGGATCTGGCGCGGACTGAGGCGCAACGAGCGAGACCACCTTCGACTGCACCGTAGTTCTGACTGCCTGCCAGACCACCCCAACCCAACTCGAAGACACGAATTTCGGGTTGGGGGGGGGTACGGGTTCCATGTGTGTTTTCTCCATGCTCCCCGACCCCCCCCCCACCCACACTGGAAATGGAGGGCAGAGTGAGGCCTTCGGGTTGGGTTGGGGTGGTTCAGTGGGTGGTGAAGTTTCAGACACCGATCGAGGCTTCGATTATGTCGGGCGTGTCCCCCTACAGGGAGTTTTCGGCGAACATTAAAAATACCTCAAAAAACTTCAAAGTGGTCAAACATACTTTAAACAAATAGTCCCCTGACTGTTTTTTGGACTATGGTTTGGACTATTGTTGGGGGTATTTTCTTTATTTGTCATTGGAAATCCCCCCAAATTATTTGTGGTTCATGTTTTGGCAATTTTGGGGGTACTTTTTTTTTTTTTTTTTAAAAACAAAAAAAAAAAAAAAAAAAAAAAAAAAAAAAAAAAAAAAAAAAAAAAAAAAAAAACGTAAGGGGGACAGGCCCGATTTAAGGTTAGCTTCCGGCTGCTCAAAGCTCCGCAGGCTGACGGGCTGGGCCGCGGGGCCGCGAGCTGCCCGACTGTGTGCGGCCTCCACGGGGAGCCTCCCCCGGGGCAGGCCACACCGCGCCGAGGTCCTCCCGTGGGCCCCGCGGCCCACCCAACTCGTTCGCACGACGTTTGCTGGGCGTGCTTTCCACCACCACCACCACCACCACCAGAAGTTGGAGGGGGGGGAGGAGAGGAGGAGGAGGAGGAGGAGGAGGAGGAGGAGGAGGACGACGAGGAGGAGGAGGAGGAGGAGGAGGACGACGAGGAGGAGGAGAGGAGGACGAGGGAGGAGAAGGAGGAGGACGAGGAGGAGGAGGAGGAGGAGGAGGAGGAGAAGGATGAGGATGAGGAGGAGGAGGAGGAGGAGGAGGAGGAGGCGGACCCCCTCCCCCTCCAACTTCTGGTGGTGGTGGTGGTGGAAAACCCGCCCGTCGATGCTGGGGCGCTTCGTCACGTCGAAGGCCAATGGTAGAGTGCCTCACGGCGGCCCTGCACCTCGACCACGGGAACCGTGACCGAGGGGCGGCCCTCCCCCTGGGTACGCTCCGGACGTGGCCCGAGCACGGTCCAGACGTGGCTCGAAATTACAGGCTTCGTGGCAAACGTCCGAACACAAGCAGGTCTTCCTCCCAGCCCTCGTCCTGGAGTCTAAAACCCCACGCCGTGCCATTCGCCAGCGTGGCGGCGCGGGGCGCCGCGGCTCTTATTCGGACACCGGGACGGGCCGTCAAGAAAACGCGGGCCAAGCAAGGGGCGACAAAAAACGCGGGACGTGGCTCGATGCAGTGGCTTCTTCTGTGCTCCAGCAACATAGGAGGGCAGGCCTGCCCAAGATTCGCGCTGGCCTTGGCGCGGCCGCCCCGCAGCGCAGGTGGCTTGGGCTCAAAGCGAATGGCATCCTCAGCGGCACCATCCACGCTCTGCGCTCGGATGGCTGGGCACCCTGGGGCCCCTGGACCTGGAAGCACCCGCGCGGCCACCCTTCTGCCGCCTGGGACGCCGCCCGGGAAGAGGGCGTCGACTGGTCCACCCTCCTCGGTCTGGTCCGCGAGTCCCTCCAGGCGGGAATCTAGAAGAGCGCTTCGGTGCACCACGACAGCAGGGGTCTGCGCGGAAGAGCCGACACCACGGCCCTGTGCAATCAAAATGAGAGCGCTCGAACGGAAGGGCGCCTGAAGCTGAGGGAAGGGCTGGTCGACCTCTCGGCCGCTGGTTTCTCCTCCCCCTCCCGTTAAGATCAGGCCGGTGTGCGAATCTATTCCAACTTGTGCCGACGTTGCCAGCGCTGCTGCTAGGCAAATTGTCACACCGTCTGGGAATGTCTTACCAATGTCGAGGTTGAGGACTGTCAAAAATACTAACTACTTGGCTGAGCAAGCCAAATCGTCCCGGGACGACCCCAGCGTTTCGGCCCCCCACCCGTTGTCGCCCACCACTGTTGCCTTCCCCTTTCGGAACCTCTGCTTCGGAGAGGCAGGATTTGGCTGGGTGGAGACGTGTCGGGGGGGGCAAGTATAGCAAGCATCCCCGCCTTAGGCGGGTCTCGTGGGCCGTAGGTCGTCAGCAATTTCGGGAACGACCCTCACGAGGCCCAAGAGAGCCCCGTCAAGCCTGCGGGTTTGGGAGCCCTCCCAGGACCGCGCCAAGAGATAACCCGCAGGGAGCTCATGGCCTGCCTGGGAGCCCTGGTCGCCAAGGCGGGGCTCGAACTTGGCTCAACCACCCGTTCCCCGCAGGCTGCGCGATGGTGTCTCGAGCTCTCCCGAGGGCGCTGGGCCCCCGAAGTCGCACAGGGAGCTCTGGCGCTCCGCGAAAGGCCGCCTGGGCACGCGGGGCCCGAGGGTCCGCAGAGACTCCAGCCATCCTTCGGCAGAGGAGCAGCGGCCTGCCAGACGAGAGCTTCTCGACCCTGCGGCGGTCAGCGCGGCCGCGGGTCGGCTCGCCGACCGCAGCTCGGCCCCTGCTCGAGCTCCCGATGCGGAGGCCCTGCTTATATCTGGAACTCGAGGAAAAGGCCAACAGCGTCTAAGATAAGATCCTGGCCATCACGGCCTCTGCCCCCCCTCGGTCCGCACCAAAGGCTCCGGGCATACGGAGCGAAGCAAGACACCCCGCCTCGACCTTGCTGCCGCCCGCGCAGAGACCGTCCACATCCGTGCACCCACGAAGCTCAAGGTGCCGTGGGTGTCGCTCGGAACCTGACGGGCCTGTTTCCCACCACCACCACCAGAAGTTGGAGAGGAGGGGGTTCTCCTCCTCCTCCTCCTCCTCCTCCTCCTCCTCCTCCTCCTCCTCCTCCCCCTCCTCCTCCTCCTCCTTCTCCTCCTCCTCCTCCTCCTCCCCCTCCTCCTCTCCTCCTCCTCCTCCACCTCCTCCTCCTCCTCCTCCTCCTCCTCCTCCTCCTCCTCCTCCTCCTCCTCCTCCTCCTCCTCCTCCTCCTCCTCCTCCTCCTCCTCCTCCTCCTCCTCCTCCTCCTCCTCCTCCTCCTCCTCCCCCTCCTCCCCCTCCAACCTCTGGTGGTGGTGGTGGTGGAAAACAGGCCCCTCAAGCCCTGCTCGCGAGCGGAAGGTGTGGCACGCCCCTGGCTCAAGCAGCCGCCCCGCCCAGCGCGCTCCGCCCCTGCCGCGGCCCTGCGCGGCCCACGAGGCGCGCAGCGGCCACAGTCACACCCTCCGCACCGTCCGAGGCGGTGCGGCGTGGGGAGCGGGCGGGGCCCGCAGGGCCAGGCGCTCCTCGCCGCCCTGGAGGGGCGGGGGCCGCGGCCCCGACCAACAACATGAAGAAATAGGCGTTTGTTGGGTCGGCGGGGCGGGAGCGAACCTCTTCCGCCAAAAGCTAGGCGGGCTACGCACAGCATTACTTAGGGAGACAGGCCACAGGCGGGCGGGGCCTCAGGCGGCCGGAGTGAAAAAAAAATACACGCACACGAACAAAAAAAGCCCGGCAGGGCGGGAGCGTGCTCGTGCGTGAGGCCCCCTTCCGGCAGCCCCGCCAGCAGCCCTGCGCTCGCGCCAGGCGGCGGCAGCAGGCCCGGTGCCCTATGTGGCCTGCCCGCGGCCCTGGCCGCCGCCGGCGGCGCATCCCTGGCCGGGGCTCTGCCCACGCCTGGTGAGTGGCTCCCGAGAGAGCGCGCAGCGGCTGGGCTGGTAGCGGAGGAGGTGCGCGACTGTTTGGGCTCCCACCGTGTCCGGGTTGAGGGGGAGCTCCTCCACCAGAGCCGCCCTGCGGCCACAGGACAGGGCGGCTCTACCTCGGCGGGCTGGCCCGAGGACTCGTCGTGCGACCCTCAAAGGGACCACCGCAGCCAGCGAGGGGGAGGGGCCTGATTTCACTCTCGGCTGCTCGAAAAATCCTCCTCCTCCTCATCCTGCGCCTCCTCTTCTGCCTCCTCCTATGCCTCCTCCTCCTCCTCCCCCTCCTCCTCTTCTTCTTTTTCTTCCTCCTCCTCCTCTTCCTCCTCCTCCTCCTCCTCCTCCTCCTCCTCCTCCTCCTCCTCTCCTCCTCCCCCCCCTCCTCTCCTTTTTCCTTATTTTCCTTATTTTCCTCCTCCCTCCTCCTCCTCCTCCTCCTCCTCCTCCTCCTCCTCCTCCTCCTCCTCCTCCTCCTCCTCCTCCTCCTCCTCCTATGTATCATCCGCCTCTGTATCCTCCTCCACGGGGCGGCTGGCATGCGGCGAAGCCCGCGTAGGGTTCGGGAAGAACTCCAGCTCAGGCATGTTCTCGCCCCAAGGCCAACCGTAGTACGGCTCGTCCCCTCGCCGCTTCGGGTACTTCTGGTAAATTTCTGGCGCCGCGGGGGGGAAAGAGAAGGAGGAGGAGGAGGAGGAGGAGGAGGAGGAAGAGAAGGAAGTGGAGGAGGAGGAGGACGAGGAGGAGGAAGAGAAGTAGGAGGAGGAGGAGGAGGAGGAGGAGGAGGAGGAGGAGGAGCAGGAGCAGGAGGAGGAGCAGGAGGAGGAGGAGAAGGAGGAGGAGGAGGAGGAGGAGCAGGAGGAGGAGGATTAGGGACGGCGGCGGCGGCGGCGGCGGCTGCAGGGGGAGAGGGAGGCAGAGGACGAGGATCATCAGCATCAGGCGCTCGGGGGCCTTACCTCGGTCGGGCGGCAAAACTCGTGAGCCCTGCGTGGGACAAGGGTGCGGGCGCCTGCCTCTAGTGAACCTGCCTGCGGGAGCCGCTGGCCCTTTTCGAGCGAGCCGCGTCAGCGGGAGGGCGACTGACAGAGGAACCTACAGCAGCACGGGCACAAAACGTTTGGACGTCCGCGCGGATCTCGCGGCCCATGCCCGGCGCGTGACCAGGGGGCCCCCTGCGCCGACTCCAGAGATCCGCGCGGACCTCCGAAAGATGGTGCGCTAGATGCACGTGTTACCAGCATTGCTGTATATAAATATATGTTGTATATGTACATATACATATATACATGTGTATATATACATCTATATATATATATATTATATATATATATATATATTATATATAGTATGTATATATACCGTTACACACACGCACATACAAATTTATAGATCAGCAAGCACGCCTGCATGCATATATAAAGCATACCTGATACATACATGCATACAGACATGTATGTTGTATGTGTGTGTATAGATATACACGTCTACATGCATGTCGCCGCGCCGCTTGTTCTGAACGCGTCCATGTAGGCAAAGCCCGCACCGCGGCAAACTCACGGCCAACTCTGCATCCGAGGCGGAGTCTACCGTGGCGGCCGGGGCGCCCTGGCCAAGAAGGCAGGCCGTGCGCCGGACTGGCCGATCCCGGAAACCCCGAACCAAAAAATGCTGTTATGTCTTGGCTTGCCGCCGCTCGGACGTCCATTTCCCGTGCATTGTTCGGTTTCGTGCGTGTTTTTGTTGCTCGATGGTCCAGGATGGTCCTCGATGGTTTTCGCCGAGAAAAAATGCCCGCACCGCAGCAAACTCGCGGCCAGCTCTGCGTCCGAGGCGGAGCTCACCGTGGCGGCCGGGGCGCCCATTGCCAAGAAGGCAGGCCGTGCGCCAGACTGGCCGATCCCGGAAACCCCGAACCAAAAAATGTTGTCATGTCTTGGGTTGCCGTCGCTCGGACGTCCATTTCCCGTGCATGTTTCGGTTTCGTGCGTGTTTTTTGGGCTCGATGGTCCAGGATGGTCCGCGATGGTTTTCGCCGAGGAAAAACGCACACGTCCGAGCGATGCCAAGTTGGGTGCGATCTTTTGACTCCGCCGCCTTCCGCCAGCCTTCCGCCGGCGGAGGCGGCCTCGTTCTACGTCCGCCGCCTCCCGCGGGCCCTCCGCCGCCTTCCGCCGAGGAGGGGGTGACAACGCCTTCGGTCCTCGAAGCCGAGGCCCTTTCTGGAACGCCTCCTGTACGTGCGTGTGCGCTGGCGCTCGAAACGAGGAGGGCGATTACGTGATTTGCCATAGGTCGGGCATGTCCTCCTACAGGAGGGTTTTGGACGACATATAAAAAATGGTCGAACGACTATGCGAACATAGTCACCAAACTAGCTGAAGAGTCGCCCCCAGACTATGGTGTTTTATTTTTGAATCTTCCGCCTGTAGATGGACATGCACTCGAGAATTGCCTGCCTGCGCCTCCTTGGGGCGGGGGCCCATCGCACAGGCCGAGAGCTCGGCTCTCGAAGTCCTGGTCAGAGATCCGCGCCCGAGGACCGCGCCGGGGGGGGGGGGGGCTCGAGCCTCCTCCTCCTCCTCCTCCTCCTCCTCCTCATCCACCTCATCATCATCATCATCATCATCATCATCATCATCATCATCATCATCATCAGCAGCAGCAGCAGCAGCAGTAGCATCATCATCATCATCATCATCATCATCAGCAGCAGCAGCAGCAGCATCATCCTCATCCTCATCCTCATCCTCATCCTCATCAGCAGCAGCAGCAGCAGCGTCATCATCAGCATCATCATCATCAGCATCAGCATCAGCATCCTTATCCTCATCCTCATCCACATCCTCATCCACATCCTCATGTTCATCCTCGTCCTCTCATCCTTCTCCTCCTCCTCCTCCTCCTCCTCCTCCTCCTCACCTCTTCTCCTCCTCTTTCCTCCTCCCCGGGGTGGGGGGAGGGGCAGCAACTGTTGGGAGCCGAAGCCGGCGTCGCGAGAGAAGCTGAGAGCGAGGACGAGGCGAGAGGGATCTTGCAGCGGATATTGCTGATTCGGTCGTAGCGCTGATGGCAGACTCAACGCCAGACGCCTTCGCCGGGTAGGTCAAGCTCACATGGGCCTTACGTGAAGCGTGAGGCAGCACGCTGGCTATCACGCTCGCAAACGAAGAATCCTGAAGCTGCACCTGATGGCAGCGCACGACACCATCTACTATTATGTCCCTAAGTCTCTGCTCGGCGGCGAGTTAGAGAGGAGGGGGGCCGAGCAAGGTGAACATATGAAGGAGCGGCCTGGGAGTCCGCGCAAAGACACGCCCCCGCGCTCGCGCTGTCACTCTGTCACTCTGGGCTGCATTCCGAGGGCGTCAGCCGTCAAGCGTGAACTCCCGCGCACTCGCCAACTGATATGTGCTATCCTCGGCCTGCCATCGTCCTGGCCTGCAGGTGCCGTGCGGCGTTTCCTCCTGCACCTCTCCCGTCATGCACGCCCCCGTGCGCGCACGATACGTGCGACGAGCGGTCGTGTCACGAGACGGAAGGCACGCTCTTGTCGGGCAGGAGCCCCACCACGCGCGGCCAGGGCGGGAGTTGGCAAGGCAGCCCACGGCGCCCGAGCTTGACAGTCGATTCCCCCCAGGCCGTGCTCGCCAGAGGCGCGCACACCGCTCGTGCCGAGCTCTCCTCGGTGCTGACAGCACGCACGCTCGCGATGGGCCACGGGAGCCCAGGATGCAGGACGGCTGGAGCTGAGCGGAAGGCTGGCGGCTGGCGCTGAAGCCGGCCCTCCCCAGCTCGGAAATGAGAAGCCGTTGCGTCTCGGCGCGCGCCGCGCTGAGCGAAGAGCGCAACCACCTTCGAGAGCTCCCCATGATAGGGCCGACGACTCCTGCACACCACCCCCACAGGCAAGCTGGTGCAGCACCAGACCCTGCCACGGGGGCCGTGAAAAAAAAAGTACCTCCCCCGGGACGTGATGCTTGCCCACCGCCCCCACCAACGAGCTGGTCCGGCACCAGGTGCGCGCGCGGGGCGGGGGCCAGACGGTCAGAGGCACTTTGGGGCACCGTGCCGCGGCGGCGGCCCCGGCGGCACGCTGTGCCCCGCGAGCGGATAGCGCGTCGCTCCTGGCGTGTCCCCGCGCTCCGCGGGGCGGGAGGCCGGGAGAAGCTTGGGACGCTGGCGATTTGAACTCGGGACGTGAGCAGCGCGTCGCGCCGAGGCGTGGTGGGCCAGAGCCAGCGGAGCGACGCGCTAACCTAAGCGGCCGTCCATCGGCCCCCGGGAAGAGGCTGTTTTTTTGGATCGGCGATAACCCCGGCTATCCGGGAAGGAAGGGGGGCCGGCCGATAACCTAACCTTCGCGCTGCGCGCAGCCCCGCATATGCCTGCGCGCACCAGTGCTGCGGTCCCTACAGCTGCTGACGGTACGGCAGCGATGCTACCATTTCTGCTGCGCCGATGCGGGCGCCGTCTAGGCATGCCGAAGGTTATGTCTGGACCTGCTGAACCGTCAAGGTGAGGTTATCTGGGGTGTGTGGGGGGGGGGCGAGCCCGATATCCCAGGCCAGTCGGACCTGGGACAGAAGAGCAACCTTTCAGAACATGAGACCCTCCGCTGGCCAAACTGCGAAACATTCGAGGGTGCCCCCCCCACAGGATGCAAAAAAAAGACCCAACTGACACGAAGAACATTAAAGCACCCTCCCCGAGTCGACATCGATGTGATGCCTCGGTCCAAACGTCGCATCGCCGGACCCTCAAAAAAACAGCCTCCAAATAGCCGCACTTCCCAGATAATAAACCACTCCACCCCTTTTCCTTGCATCTCTTTATCCAGGAGAGTGCACGTTCATTTGAAGCAGCAGGCGGGGCGGCCCAACATTATTATCCCCTCCAAAACTCCTATCGTGGCTATGATGGTGATGATGTTTCAGGCGGAGAGAACGCGTTTCACGGGCGGTTGCCTTGGGAACATTCGGCGGCGCGTTTCAAACCGGAGGGTGGGCCCCCTCCCAACACTCGGCGCTGTCGATCAAAACCGGGGGGACTCCCCTCCCCCCCAAACCCCACCCCTCCCGAACCCCACCCCTCCCCCTCGGCGCCGGCGCCGGCGCTGGCGGCCGCCAGCAGCGCCCACGGCGGGGACGCAGCGACGATGACCAGAGGCAGCCCGGGGGGACTCCCCTCCCCCCCAAACCCCACCCCTCCCGAACCCCACCCCTCCCCCTCGGCGCCGGCGCCGGCGCTGGCGGCCGCCAGCAGCGCCCACGGCGGGGACGCAGCGACGATGACCAGAGGCAGCCCAGGGGGGCGGGGTTCAACCCCCCACCCCTCCCAAGGAGGGGGGAGGCCTGAGGGGGGGAGGGTTCAAACCCCCCCGCCACCTTCGGCGCCGGCGCTGGCGGCGGCCAGCAGCGCCGGCGCTGGCGCCGGCGACGGCGGGGACGCAGCGACGATGACCACCACTACCAACACCACCACCACTACCACCACCACCACCGCCACCGCATCAACCCCACCACCACCACCACCACCACCACCACCACCAACAGCACCACACAACCACCACCACCACCACAGCCACCACCACCACCACAACCACCACCGCAATGTCTTGACCAATAGCCCCACATCTCCAATAGACTGAGATCCATGAGGCCACCAAGCATTGACGTTGTTGGGGAAGTTCGCCACCGCCGCGGCCCCTGGAGTGCTGTGCGTCTCCTGCATAGCCAGAAAGTCAGCCGATCGCAGTAAGTGAAGGCAGTGCGACTTCTTCAGCCGATGCCGTCGGGGATTTCGCGACCTGAAGATGGAGATCCACGAGGGCAGAGGGCACCCAAGCCCTGGGGGGCCAGGCTGGCCAGATGGGCTCGGCTGCGAGCGAGGTGGCTGCGATGGCGGGGGCCCAGCCGTCGAGGCCGAGCAGCATGCAGAAGTTGAACGCGAGCGCGGGGCTGAAGAGGGCCGCCTTGCGGAGGCCACCGCGGAAGCGGAGGAAGAACAGGCCGATGGCGGAGTAGACGAAGCCGGGCGGCCCGAGTCGTCGACGCTGGCGGGGTAGGCGGAGGCGGCGTCGAGAAGGACGGAAGTGACGCCGGAGTGGTAATATAAAAAGCCGAATTCGGGTCGGCCCCTGAGCCCGAAGAGATCGTCGGAGAGCGCGCGAATACAGATGCACATGTTGAGGGCAAGGACGCGCATGGCAGACGATGGAAACGAACACAGGCTGAGGGGATCAAATTGGATGCCGGCTCGACGTCCCACCGTCGAAGTAGGACGTACTCGCAACGTCTCTTCTGGACGGCGCGCCGACCGCCCAGGCCGTCAGGCCCGCGACGCTCGATCGGCGCGAAATGCCCCAGCAGCCAGGTCGGAGCTGAGGAACCGGATCGGCGCCCGCGCCCCGTTGACCTCGACGATGTCCCCCTGCTCGGCTTCCTGGAGTCGCTCGACCTCCGAGGTGTTCCCAAGGCGGAAGTTGACGGTGCCAGTCGGCCCCGCTGATGCAGAGAGCTGGCATGGCCAGGAGTTGGGGGGGAGCTTGCCTGGCAGCGCGTGCCGGGGCCATGCGAAGCCCATCTTCTGGCCAGCAGCGCCCATCACCTGCGCGAGCAACTCGAGCGGGCGAGCGCCCACGGGGCCCGTCAGTCGTAGCTGCCCCGATGCCAGCGCGGTAGCGCGCCCGCTCCACCTCGCCCGGTCGCGCGCCAGAACGCCCGAAATCACCGTGTCCAGCGCGCGGGGACGGGCCCAAGGCCGCCCACCGTGCGAGGAACGTCGCCAACGAAGCTGGACAGCTGCGCAGCCGGGGTCGTCGCGCAAGATCTTCGTCAGCTCGGTCATTCCGATGCCGACGCACTGCTGCGCAGGATCGCGAGGGTCGGGGAGACCCACGGGACGTCGTCGCACAAGCCCTGGAGGTTGACCAGAATTTGCGGAGAGGTGTGCTCCAAAACGCGCGCCCCCGTATTTGCCAGGAACGCCTGGTTGCCAACCAGCGCGGTTGACAGGAGCGCGTCGTTGCGAAGCTGGCGGATGAGGCAGCGCACGCCCAGGTCCGAAAATGCATCCCGAGCGGCGCACACTTCGAGGAGGAGGCGGCGGCCGTCCAGCACAGAGCCGAGGCTGCGGAAGGGCCCCTCCCATCTGACGCCGCGCTGCGACACCATCAGGGCGAGAGCACGTCGCGCCTGCAGTCCTGATTGCGTCTCCACGTCCACCCAGATCACGTGGGACGAGTCCTCGGAGTAGAGTGCTGGACGCCACGAGGCCAGTCGCGCGGGGACCCCACCTCCGGCCCTGGTGAGATACGAGGCCGAGAAGCCCTTGTTGACCGTGGCCGCCGAGTTGTGCACGGTGGTTGTAATGAGCGCTGGCTCTTGCAGATGGACCGCTGCTGCGACGAGATGCGACTTTTTGCCACTCAGAAAGGCGCGGCGCCAGAGGTCCTCGAGCACGCAGGCCTCTCCAAAATCAGATAGAGGCCCCCGTTCGCACAGCATCAAGAACTCGATGTCCATGCCCTGCAGGGCGGCGTGCTCGATGCCACTCAGGAGGCGGCGAAGATGTTCTGACTCCCGCGGTGCCCACATCACAATGCCGCCCGCTCCGAGAGCGGTCCACGCCGCCAACGCCCTCCCCTTACCCTTCGCCATCTCCTCCATCAGTTCCCGGGCTGGCCCAATTTCGAAACGCCCCTCGCGGCCAGGGCAGCCAGAAGCGCATACGTCCGACAGCCACCGATCTGGATGATCTCCGTGCCAACCCACTGCTCCAAGACCAAGGGGGCTTCCAAATACGCTGGTGTCGTGCAACCTCCACTCTGGCGGCGATCACGGAGTGCAGCAGGATGGAGACGAAGACACTCAGTACGGGCATTGGCTATGGAGTCCTCGGCATTCTTCGCCCCTGCCTTGCATGGGTCGGACCAAAAGGTAATCAGCTTCGTCACCGACAGAACCAGACCCAGTCCTCGATGTCCTCCACAGCGGGGCATGCTCCAGCCTTGGGTTCCATTCCGAGGCGCCACCAGCACGGCGAAGATGCCGAGAAATCGTAGCCGACAGCTTCGAGATATGACCGGAGGTCGGGCCATGGCTCGACAACCTTATCTCCTGCAGGGAGGCGCAGTGCCCTGTCCGATCCTTCAGCACGTGTCCTCACCAGAGCATTAATGAACTCGATGTTCGCGAGGGCGGCTTCCCGTGACCACTCTGTCCATCCCTCCGCCACCAGCTGCTCGACGCGCCCGTTCGGGGGGGGCGGCTGCGCCGCTGCGGTGGCATCGGCTGTCTGGGCGAGGCCCGGGGGCGGGCGGTAGGATGTTGAAGCTGAAGACGTGCGGCGTCCTGCATGAGTCCTGTGCGCGCGCGCCTTCTGCGGCCTCTCCCATGTGCTCGTCGGCTTCTAGCTGGGGCTGCTGGGCAGCACCAAGGTGGCAGGCCGCGTGCTGACAGGACGCACCGCGGTTTGGTGAATCTGCGCTTTCCATCCCCCCACGAAGCCTGAGCAGCCGGTGCACAGTCGCCTCGTTGCCGACGTTGTACTGCGAGAGCGTGCGTTCCACCTCCATCTGCCGTCCGCCGTAGATCAAACGTTGCTGGTCTGGGGGGGCGCCCTCTTCTTCCTGGATCATGCCCATGAGGGAGTCGGTCGTGTCATCAGCCTCGATATCCACACTGAAGGGCTTGCGGTCTGGAAGCTCCACCAAGATCTGCAACCCGTAACGGCGGCAGCCGATGTCACGGTTTCCGCCGGCCCGGGTGCCCCTGGGACTATGGGATCCCTAACGTGAGTATGGGCGTGGCCGTCCTCGTCGTGGCCGTCCTCGTCATGCTCCTCCTCGTCCTGGTCCTGGTGCTCCTTATGCTGGTCCTCCTCTGGGTCCTTGCCGCGGTGCTGGCCCCATTCCTGGACGGCCACGTCGTCGCGCGGCTGGAGGTCCTGCTGCTGCCGGTCCCCGTCGCCGCGGTTCTGCGAATCCCCGTGGTCCTGCGCCGCGTGTCCGAGGTGGAGAACGCCGTCGTAGACCAGCTCGTCAGGTACCTCGTCGTCCTGGTCGTCGTGGACGCCGTCGCGGAGGTCCTGGTCGACATGTCCGACGTCGTGGTCGTGGGAGTCTAGGGCGTCGTGGTCGTGGTCGTCGTGATTGTCGTGGGCGTCGTGGTTGTCGTGCTGCTCGTCATACCTGCCATCGGCATGCACGACGAAGTTCGTGGAACCTAAGCTGAAAATCTCGAAATGCTCTCCGATGATCGTGAAAAGCTCCAGAAACATCGTGAAACACATGCCGAATATCGGGAAATGCCCCACAAAAATCGCAAAATCCATGCCGAGGATCGTGAAGTGCTCCACAAAGATCGTGACAGTCATGCCGACGATCATGAAATGCGCCACGAAGATCGCGAAGTTCCCCACAAAGATCGCGAAGGTCCCCACAACAATATTGATACTCATGCCGAAGATCGTGAAATGCTCCATGAAGACCGCGAAATGCTCTTCGAAGACCGTGGAACTCATGCCAGAGGTCGCGACATGCTCCACGAACATCGTGAAACTCATGCCGACGAACATGAAATGCTCCACGAAGATCGTGAAGTGCTCCATGAAGATCGTGAAACTCATGCCGACGATCACGACATGCTCCAAGAAGATCGGGACATGCTCCACGAAGATCGTGAAACTCATGCTGAAGACCATGAAATGCTGCACGAACGTCGCGAAAGGCTCCACGATGAAATCGGCCAGGTCGAGGCGCAAGATGGCGTACGGCAAGGCGTAGACCTCGTGGGTGGACACCGTGTGCGACACTTCGTCGCTGGAGTCCCTGACGATGCCGGTGGTGCAGCCAGAGGCGCACAGCGAGGACGCAGACTGGATGGCCACGTACCTCGCCGGCACGTTGAAGGTCTCGAGCATGATCTGGGCCGCATGCTCGCGGATCGCCTTGGGGTACAGGGGCGCCTCGGTGAGGACTGGATGCTTTTCCGGGGCCATGCGGAGCTCGTCGTAGTACGCGTGGCGCCTGATCTTTTCCATACCGTCCCAATTCGTCACGATGCCGTGCTCGAACGGGTACTCAAACGTCAGCAAGCCGCGCTTGCTCTGTGCCTCATCGCCCAGGTAGCTGCCCAGCACCTGGAACTTGATCTCGCTGAACGTCGTCAAGAGGTCACCCTTGAACCGCTGGCACGCCGTGACGGCAGCTACGGGGGTCCGCGAGCAGACCGCAGCGCCGGGGGCTGAGGGATGACGAGTGAGTCTGACTACGAATGAGCCTTGAGCCAAAAAATAGTCAAAACAAATATCCGAAAATAGTCAAAAAGAGCATTTACTTATGTTTGGCATTACTTAAAAAAATACCCTGACTATTCTTTGACTATGTTTGAATTGTCCTCCTGTAGAGGGACAGGCCCGACCTAACCCTGGTCACCACCCCTCTCTGGGCCGCCCCCGACCTTCCGCGAGGGAGACACGGAGCCCAGCCGCCGGAGAGTGGTCCGCACGGCCAAGGCGCGGGCACGAGAGCGCGGGCCAGAAGAGCACGGGCCCCCTCGCCCGGGGCGTCCTCCTCGTCCTCCTCGTCCTCCGCGTCCTCCTCGTCGCCCTCGTCCTCCTCGTCCTCCTCCTCCTCCTCCTCCTCCTCCTCCTCCTCCTCCTCCTCCTCCTCCTCCTCCTCCTCCTCCGCACGAGGCCCTCACGATGGCACCCCCAAAAGCGAAGGGCCCCCCCAGGGCGGAGGGCCCAAGCACCCAGAGCACGGGGAGGGGGCCCTCCAGAGCCAGAGCTGCCCCCGCAAGACGCAGCCAGGACGAGGACCAGCGCAAGGGGGGGCCCCCTCCAGAGCCAGAGCTGCCCCTGCAAAACACAACCAGGACGAGAATCAAATCGGGTGGGGGCAGACACATCGAGAATCCCCGAGATCCGGCGGTTCTGCAGGATGTCTCGGGCCCCGCCGCCTTCTCAGAACGTCCTGGAACGCTCTGAGAACGCTCCAGAACGCTCTGGAACGATCTATCCTTGTCCTAGCCCGGTCCGATCGGCGGATCGGACGCTGCGGCTTCAATGCGCGATTCCAACCGTGGCCGGCGATCTGCCACGCGCCTTTGGCGCGGTCGCTCTTCCTCTGGTTGAAGATGATGCGATCGTACTGGTGCTGCGAGCTTTCGCTCACCCAGTCCTTCAGGGCAGGGGCCAGAGCGTCTGAAACCTCGTCCATCCACTCACCCTCATTACTTTCGCGTTCCTCTGCCATCTCCTCCTCCTCCTCCTCCTCCTCCTCCTCCTCCTCCAACGGATATTCCTCCTCATCGGCCGCTCTCTCGTTGTACTCATCGAGTGCACCCCATGCTGGCGTCACAAAACTGCATGTCCATACTCTGTGGCCGAAGGGTCGGCATGCCCCCCTCTGGGCAAGAGGCTTCGCCAAAGTTGAGGCTGCAGACACTGCGACAGGGAGGGCACGCAGCGACTGTCTGAGCAAATGTTTTTGTGGGTGGGGGACAGTCATGCTGCAGAGAAGTCTGGAGAGCTGCCCAGCGCCGCTTCGAGACATCCGCGCACCCCTTATGGTGTCCAGAGGTGCTGTGCTGTGCTGTGCTGTGCTGTGCTGTGCTGTGCAGTGCTGTGCTAAACCCAAACCTGACAAGCCGCGCGCAAGGTGCACCTGAGGGGAATACCCGATCACACTGAACGCAGCAGCTTCTGAGAAGCTGCTGCATTCTAAGAAGCCGTTGAACAAATTCTTCAACGGCTGCGGGAAGTCACCCGGCAGCGCGGGGAGCGAAGAAATCCAGA